ATAATCTTACGACATGTTATTTAATTAAATGAGTCGACACATATTTGATACTATCTAAGGACAGGAATGTTTGAGACTAACAACCAGTCATGAATATTAACCCTACATTCATTTTACATCACATCTATACATCTGAATCTTATAGATATTTTACTTGTTTTCTATGTTTTTATGGGTGTGATTGAGAAATTACTGTGGAAAGTGTTTATCTTCAATCCTTGTTTTTCTTTATCACAAAAAATATTTTCAATTGTAGGCTCAATACTATGGGTACGTTCTACACGATAACCGATATTCGCGTCTACTTAACAAATACATCCTATTCTCAGTGAGCCTCTAGAACACATAAATACTATTCAAAATAGTGTATACAATATAATACATAATAATATATTACAGGCCAAATATGTCTCCATAGTTATGTTTTGGTTAAATAAGATTTCAGATAACGATAATCATATAAAAATGATGAAGAAAATCTTAAACATTCGCCAAATCAATTTTCCAATTCATACGCATAATGGGTCCAAGCCAACTAACTGTCAGTCTGAATGTGAATTGTTGTATTACACAAAAGGGTACTAGCAAAATAAGTAAACTTAATATAAAAAAAAACTGAAAGGCGTTAAATCTTTCGTATATAAATGACAATTTACCTGACTTTCTTTACGAATGGTTACTAAAATAATTTGTTCAAAACAGTACAAAATCCAATATGACTATTCTCTGATTGAGAGTTCTTAAATGTCGTTTAGACACAAAATTCGCAAAATTTATAATATAACAGTTAAAGTTACTGTAACTTACATAGCTTGGAATTTTGGAAATCTTCAGTACAGAGAGAAAAACGTTTTCAACGTATGTAATCCAATGAGAATTCTTTACCAATATATCAATATTCAAAATCGTGTCAGTCTAATCTTTTAACACTGAATTATCCTTCTGTAGAGAACCAGCATCAATACTTACTCGTTAATTCGAATTAAAGATTGGAGCAAAGTGACATCATCTCTCTCGTTATGTTTCAATTTCTAGCATATATACAAAATTTCAAAACTATGAAAACACTTCTTTCCATCTAGACAGGTAAAAATGTCACAAAATGCTGCTTATACATCTATTGAATAACGATGTAAATTGCAATATACTCTTGCACATGTTATAATTATTTTCAAGGTACATTCACGAGCGTATTCAGGCATTCATCGAACCTTTTAGAAAGTGGTAGGTAGTCTTTAAGAAAGTTGTCTATTTGACCACATTAGTTTGGTTGCGATTCTACTCTTAGCTTTCATTTGTACTTGGAACAAAATGTATAACAAAACTGATTCAAGTTGGGAAACCTAATATAGTTTCATTCACGCCTAATGGGGACTACGTTTTGGTGAGTGAAACTGTTCGGAAATGAACAAGCATAGTTCTCTAAGATTAATCTACGTAGCATTTCATTTTAACTTCAAATCACCTGGCAACACTGAGAAGATTGAATTTAGTAACAAGTATTTTATGTAATATAATGCGAATGTATGAGCTGTGAAACATAAAATGGGTGTAGGTTGCTTTCTCTGCGTTCACAGATGAAAGTCTACATGTGGCAGATCAAGTTTATGAAGGTGTATTTATACATAATGGAATTTCGTTTTATAAAACATACAGCTTACAACATCTGTTTAACCCTACACGTTTTTACAACAGCTCTTGAGCTCCATTATCGTTAGCTTCTGATCAAAGCAAGTTACCTACAGACATCAAAACCAAAAATTAACCTGGTAAGTAATATAGCAAACTTAATATACCGCTCTAAGTATGGGTATGCGAAGTCACAAAACAAAATTTATTATAATTAGAATGCTTTGATTCATCAGTTAGGTATTATCACTCCTGAGTTATTTTATCATTTACTGTTCAGTTTACAGAACCTAAGATGACTTTTCTCCCTGGCTTGTAGTTTTACTTTGGTTACGTGTCAGGTAGAAATCCTCCTATACAACTTTTCTCTTTCACAAAAGAAATGCTCTAAATCAAGTAGTATAAATGGAGAGCAAGTCGTCGTGTGTATTTTTATATTTGTATTTATGGCAAAGCTATTATGCCTATCAGCAACCGTCCCTTGAACTATTGACCACAGGACAAACAGCCAGTCAGCAGCACCTTACCACCCACCATCCACGATGAGGAATTGACTGTCAATCCTATAACGCATCCACACCTTAAATTGCGGGGAATATTTTGTAGTATTGCTTGAAATCGAACTCGGATACCCGGCTCTTGAATCCAGATTTCTACCAAAGAGTCATACCAAGGATTTTCCCAATATGGGAACTAACATTTTCTACATTCAACGAAAACATAATGTAAAACAGTATGGTAAAACTGAAATTCACAAAAAAAAACATACTGTAAAGCAGTATGGTAAATCTGAAATGATTGATGTCGATTTGATAAAATCTGACAAGTCTATAACTAATGACTAAACATTTCTAGCCAGGAAAAATAGTCATTGTCCAAATACTATGATTTTATTTCAGCTTTACGTTCATGATTTTTGTTTCCACGGGATAGGCTGAAGGATTATATTTATACTTTTGATTATTTAGCTACGTATTACAAAAAAGAAACTTAACAGATCTGTGCAAAGTGAAGTGAAAGCTACTACGTTATAAAAGCATTGCAAATTTTAGATACTAGGGAGGTTTCACAAAAACGAAGTTTTCTTTAGTACTATAGAAATTCATTTTCGAGGAATACCGGGGAACACGAAATGCGAAAATATTATAGTGCAGAAGTGTTAGGACAAAAGCCTTACAACATTTTTAAACGGCTTTCAGAACAAAATATGTATTTCTCGGGTTGGCTTAAACGGTTAGATCTGAAGATTAAATAAGCATCCTAATTTCTCAGTAAGCAGAAACCTTGCCATATAGAAAAATTAATCATCCTATAATCACGAGCATCTTAGTAGATAATTCAAAGTACTGAACATGGGGCACCGATTTGGTTTTAAGAAACGAAATTTGGAGCTTTATAGCTTTGGAAATCCAATTTTGTGTTTCACTACAGATACTAATATCCTCATTACTAATGTCTCACATATACCTTTTTGTAGCATATATTGGACTATTGCTCACATATCATATAACCGTGAAGACTGTTTGACCTGTATATTCTTGCCTGAAGATAAACGATATATTACTCATGAGTTATACAAGTCACAGTGTAATTCCTTACAACTTTGTAATGAGTTATACAAATCACAAAGTAACTCCTTACTACTCACTACTGAGTTACAGCAAGTCACAGTGTAACTCCTTATAAATCAGTATTGAGTTATAGCAATTCACAGTGTAACTACGTACTATTCAGTACTAAGTTATAATAAGTTATAATGTAACTACGTACTATTAGTTACACTGTGACTTATTATAGCTTAGTACTGAATAGTACGTAGTTACATTGTGACTTATTATAACTTAGTATTGATAACTCAGTACTGAGTAGTACGTAGTTACACTGTGACTTACTGTAACTCAGTACTGAATAGTAAGTAGTTACACTGTGACTTATAACTTAGTACTGAGTAGTACGTAGTTACACTGTGACTTGTTATAACTCAGTATTGAGTAGTACGTAGCAATTCACAGTGTAACTACGTACTATTCAGTACTGAGTTATAGCAATTCACAGTGTAACTACGTACTATTCAGTACTAAGTTATAATAAGTCACAATGTAACTACGTACTATTCAGTACTAAGCTATAATAAATCACAGCGTAACTCCTTACTACTCAATACTGAGTTATAACAAATCACAGTGTAACTACGTACTACTCAGTACTAAGTTATAATAAGTCACAGCGTAGCTCCTTACTACTCAATACTGAGTTATAACAAGTCACAGTGTAACTACGTACTACTCGGTACTAAGTTATAATAAGTCACAGTGTAACTACGTACTACTCAATACTGAGTTATAACAAGTCACAGTGTAACTACGTACTACTC